GTCAATCCCACTATTCGTTGGTAAAAGAGTAGCCCAAGAGTTGGCGGTGGGTGGTGATGACTAGCAGCCTTCCCTCTAATCTTACACTGCTAAATTAGGGACGGCTAGCGCAGATAGCCCTCGTGTAGCTTTGCGCGAAATTCCAAAAACAAACAAACCTATACATTAGATAGAGTTGTACAAACTTACTGTCTTGTCACTCTAAAAACTTTTAAGAGAAAAAAAAAAGTTCGTTTCCTTGTCATATTCATTGTGGTGTATTCGTTAACTAACGTCTTTAGTAAGAGTTTCAAACTAGGAAGCATATTTAATGGATTTTGCTAGTAAGTTACTAAAAATTGTATACATCCAATGTATATAATACATACATTTTGTTTGTTTTAGAATTTTATGCAAAGCTATACAAGGACTATCTGCGTATATCCGTCTCCAAATTTGAACGAATAGACTAGAGGGAAAGGAGTTAGTCAATAGAACCCACCGCCAACTCTTAAGCTACTCTTGTCTGACCGAATAGTTGGAATTCGCCGTTACTCTTACAGCGTACGCATGGTCCAAAAGTGCGTTCTTACGACAAGAGGACGTGAAGTACGAACCCTCAATTCACAGTCCGAGCACGCTAAGCCTAGGACAAGCCCGAACTTACGTTTTCAGGCTTCTGCAATTGACGACCAACAAAACTCCAAACTAATCTACCCTGTAAAAACAACTCTTTGGTAAAACATCTAATTACTAATATTTATAATTACAATATGTTGTCGTAATAGGTTAGGAATATAAAAGTCAATAGTGTATTTTTTATTTTTAGTGACTGTGGTCAGCTTTTCATTACATACAGAATGAACGTGTAAATTGTTGAGCTTGGAATTGATCTTTATATTGTTCGGTCTTAGAAATATTTAAAAAAAAACGTTATCAGTGCATTGTTGGAAGATAGTTTCTATAGAAGTGTCTAATGTATCTACTTAAAGAAAAGAGCAAACAAGCAGAGGAAATAAAATATACTTATTCCAGTCAGACTTCTGCAATTTTTTTTTATTGATTAGAATCAATAATTTGTAAATCTCTAACGTAATATCGTGTTGCATACGAATTACTGTAAATAAATTATGTAATAATTACACTCGATCTGCTTATACAGTAATACGTTTCACTAAATATACTTACACATTTTGGCTTAAGAGCTTCGAGTTAAGTTGTTAAAAGCTACTTTGGCTTTAGAGCCTCCAGTTAAGTTGTTAAAAGCTACTTTGGCTTTAGAGCCTCCAGTTAAGTTGTTAAAAGCTGTTGTGGCTTTAGAGCCTCCAGTTAAGTTGTTAAAAGCTGTTGTGGCTTTAGAGCCTCCAGTTAAGTTGTTAAAAGCTGTTGTGGCTTTAGAGCCTCCAGTTAAGTTGTTAAAAGCTGTTGTGGCTTAAGAGTTTCCAGTTAAGTTGTTAAAAGCTGTTGTGGCTTAAGAGTTTCCAGTTAAGTTGTTAAAAGCTGTTGTGGCTTTAGAGCCTCCAGTTAAGTTGTTAAAAGCTATTTTGGCTTAAGAGCCTCCAGTTAAGTTGTTAAAAGCTATTTTGGCTTAAGAGCTTCCAGTTAAGTTGTTAAAAGCTGAATTTCTATAACAACTCTTAAACGTTTTATTTTTAGTTCTCAACTCTTCACAAGGAAAATCCAGTGTAAAAACATCTTTCAAACTTTCTAGAAAAATCAATCGAGTAAAAGAAATATACACGTGTAACCAAAACTACAGAAAAAACGTAAATACAAAAAATAAATTGTACAGTATATAACACCGAACTCGTATTTGAACAGAGGAAAAAAACAACAACAAACAGTTGTACTTTGTACAGAAAATTCTGATCACGAGGAATGAAAAACAATAAACTGAAGCTAACAGCAAATGACATAATTCGTGATAAGATAATGTCGTCTAAACGGAAAACTAAATTATTATTTTGGTTTCATATAGACAACATTTTTCTCTAAATGTTGACCTAGTAATCTTTAAAAATTGAATGGATTCGATTTTTAGAAGGGACTTGTTACAAGTTGTAATCTTTTATATTTTAAAGAGGTAAATGATTGTATGTAAAGTAATAATAACATAATTTACTATCGGGAACAACATAGCTCATCACAGATTCCTTCTGTATAAGACGTTCAGAAGAAAATGTATAGTTTTTTTTTCTTCTTTTGCTAAGAATTATATTGTTGACTGGCTGTATTGCCTCTAAAAGTTCCCACTAGTAAACATTAGAACACGGAAACAGATCATCCTGGTTGTCCTGTGAAGTTAAACGTTTTGTTGACAGTGGCGCCATTTACAGATGGTGACGAGGTGGATGACGTACCCCTGAGGATTTCTTCATTTTCTTTTCGTACTAGAAACGGAAAACAAAAATAATAGCTAAATTATATAACACACGATGTTAGCATTACAAAAGTTTCAAACGTTTCGTTTTCATTAAAAAAATTAATCAAAGATTTAAACAAATCTTCTCTTTCCGAGCTCGTTACCACAAATTCCAAGTTTGAATTCGATCAAAATCTTGAAAAAAAAAACTATTGTTTTGCATATACTTGCATTTGACTTAAATATTTTTAAGTTTTCGGAAACATAAGAATTAATTTGAAGGAGATTAAATATTGATTTTTTTTTATTATTTGGTGATAAAATTAAAGTAAATAAACAGTATGTAGAGAAACTACCTACATTAGGCAGGCGGCAGCACTGTCTATGTATGGATGGCTCGGATTGTTCATGGAAATGGTATTTTAAATAGCTCATCAGAACTTTACAATACCATAGTGTTTCCTTTAATAACAATGTCTATGTAATGACTGAGTCACAACTTCTGGGAATGTCTAAAGATTTAAAACTGAATATCCACTTTTTTAAGTAGTAGCAGAAATACCCGCCCTCCGGGAAGGTATAACTGTTAGTACCTGTGGAAAGCAATTGAGTCTGTGGCTTTTTCTGGAATTGTCTGACAGTTCCACAACAATGTACTCATAATTGACATTCAATGATGTTTACCATCCATAAGAAAATGATTTAATTGAAATTTTAGTTTTAAAATGAGCTATCAACACAGCATTACATCACAGAGTAGATTTTATTGACGCATTTCTTTGTGGACGCAGTTATCAATGAAAGTGCCTCGCTTTTCTGTTGCAACACTCACGAGATCTTCACGAAAGAAAAACAAATATAGTTTTAAAGTTTGTTTTATATTTGAAACTTACTCCTTTTTTTTGTAATTTTTATTGGTTAAATCTGAAACTTCATTTTTTTTGTGGAAATTTCAATTGTTTTATTTATCGCTATAAAAATACTGCCTAGTTGTAAAAGTATTACCCAGTTATGATTGGTAATGATCCGGGCGGTAGTTTCGGAGATCCGAGTTTTGAACGTATACATCGTAAGCTCCATGAAAACAAGATGATTGTTTGTTTGTAATTTAAGCACAAAGCTACACAATGAGCTTTCTGTGCTCTTCCTACCACGGGTATCGAAACCCGGTTTCTAGCGTTATAAGTCCGCAGACATACCGCTGTGCCACTGGGGAGCAAATATGATTAATAACTAGTAGTATTTTTTTTAAAATCGTAATTCTAGCGTAAACGATGTTATCATTACCCCTTGAAGTTAGCTTTCTTACATAAATTTGATGTTCCTTTAAAAAGCTTAAGTACAGGGTGAAACAGGAATTACCAGCCAAAAACAGATAAACAATAAATATTAAAAAAACAACTAAAAAGTAAGTAAATGTAGGGATGGACGCATTGTTTTGGAAGGATTAGTATTAGCCATCCCTACATTTACTTACTTTTTGAAAAGTTTATTTATTACTTGTAAAATATTTTACTCATGCGAAACGCACGTTCAGCTTTAATTCGGATATCGCTTAAACTCTTCATTGTAAAAACATCTGATTTTAGTTTTTCCTCCTAAAACAAAGACATCTTATATATTCATAAATGTTGTTTATTTTTAGTGAAATAAATAATAAAAACACATTATCTCTAAAGGTGATGAGTGTTTTTGTTAGATGTAACCTTGTAGTCACAAACACAACAATTAGCACAAACGGGCTTGCATTATAAAAGAATGCGCGACACACACACACAGTTTCTTTTCAAAACTAATAATGTTTTCGTTAGTTAGTTTACTGGAAATTAGATGTTTAACATATTTTAATTGATATACTCGCAAGACAGATTTTGTTCCAAGATTTCATACAAAGCTACACAAACGTTACCTATACATAGCAGTTTCTAATTTGAATTAATGCATTAGAGAATAGACAGTAGCTCAAAAGTACCCACATCCAACACTTGAGCCATCTTTGTCTGGTCGAATACTGGGATTTGACCATCACACTTATGGTTCATCCTCGCCCCAAAGTACGGAGCGTGTTTTTTGGGACGCAAGCCGTGTATCCTTGGACTTCCAGTCTGGGCACGCTAACCACTAAGCCACAGACTAGATGAAAGACAGCTAATCAATGGCACCAAACCTCAACTCTTGGGCCACTCTTGTCTGATGTACCAGTGAGACTTGACAGTCAGTAATTCTTATAACACATCTACAAATGAAGATCTTTTGGCAGCAACATGACGTAGTAAAACATTAAAAGTATTACCAGAAAATTAACAAGTTTAGATAATGAAAGAAAAAAACTTCAACATCACATACATGAATCAACAATGATCCTTCAATTATTCGTTTAGACGTCAGTGAGAGAAGGACGTTTATTTTATATGAATCGTTTTTATGTTAAAGAACCTAATAGTTAGTAACTTATAAATGTACTTACTTCGTGAAAAATCACAGGGAAATAGTACGCAAAAAGCAATGGGAGGTAAAGTGTAATTTAACCTAATTACTTACGAGTGATTAACACGTATTAATTACACAACATAAGGCAATCTCTACTTTGAGAAGTGTTCAAGACGCCATTACAGTCTCTTTCCGAGAGGTTTTCACCACTTAGATATTAACTGGTTCCGTTTGAACTCGAAATTCTCTCTCCCTGTATTCAAATACCGGATCACTGACTCTCACTACTATTACTACTACGAGAAGACATCTTAAATCCTGCCGTTTTAATTCAATATTTTCTTACTTCCTATTAAAGTAAGTTTAC